CCTCTTTCTCTTCCTCTTCCTCATCCTCTTTCCACCATAGGAAGCACGCTATCATGGATTAGGGATCCATAGTTCTGACGAGCGGGGTGGCTCCTTCTAGGCCTACGCTAACTCCTCCTGCCTCTACTTCTCCCCCTGCTCCCCCTCCCCTCCTTCCTCCTTTCCTCTCCTCCTCCTCTTCCTCTCCTCCTCCTCCTCCTCCTTCCTCCTCCTCCTCCCTACCTACCTACCTACCTACCTACCTACCTACCTACCTACCTACCTACCTACCTACCTACCTACCTACCTACCTACCTACCTACCTACCTACCTACTCCTCCTGCCTCCACGCGCGGGACGGGGAGGGACACAACGATACAAGTCCACCTCGTTCATCCTTCGCCCTCCCCCATCCAGGGTAGGGGGGAACTCAGACCTCACCCTCCCCTTCCTCCTCCTCCTCCTCCTCCTCCTCATCATCCTCCTCCTCCACCTCCTCCTTCTCTTCCTCCTCGTCCTCCTCTTCCTCCTCCTCGATCCTCCTCCTCCTCCTTCTCCCCTCTCGTCCTCCTCCTCCCCTCCTCGTCCTCCTCTCCTCGTCCTCCTCGTCTCTGCTCCTCCTCCTCATTTTCCTCTTCCTGCCCTCCCTCCTCCTCCTCCTCCTCCTCCTCCTCCTCCTCCTCTTTCTCCTCCTCCCCTCCGCCTCCTCTCCTCCTCCTCCTCCTCCTCCTCCTCCTCTCCTCCTCCTCCATCATCCTCACTCTCCAACCTCTGGCCTCCTCCTCCTCCTCCTCCTTCTCCTCCTCGGCCCTTTCCCGTCCCCCATCCACCTCCTCTTCCACCTGCTTTGCCTCCTCTTCCTCCTCCTCCTCCTCCTCATCATCATCCTCCTGTTCCTCCCCGACCCTTCGGGAGGGTTCTCGTTGCCCTCCCCTGGCTGCCAATCTGCAGCAATGGTGCTTCGTGCGCGCAGGTCTGATGGCGGAGGCTTGGGGACAGGGCGAGGCCCCTGGCGGTTGCGCTGCGAAATCTCTGCCCGCCCATCCCACTCCGCACGGCCTGTTCATCCCCCCCCCCCAGACACGCATGGCCTGGATTTTCCCCATGCGGGGTCCTCAGAAGTCCAGACCCACTCCCGAGGGCTGGTTCGTCATCCCGCAGGGTTTTTGGACGATCCCAGGGCCCGGCGAGGACCCCCAGAGGCCAGAAACGAGCAAGAACCTCCCGTCGTGATTTCGATCACGGCGCGAGCAGGTCTGAACCTCGTGGGTTTCCTGGGCACCGTGGGTGGCCCTGGGGCCTGCCCGCCTGGAGGCACACTGGTCGGTGCGGGGTAGCTCCGGCGCGGGAAGCTTCCATTCTTCACGGGCAGCCTCGCGGAAAGCATCCGTGCCCGAGGATGAGGACGTTGCCCTATGGGCCATTCCAGACAGCTAGCCTCTTCTATTCCTCCTCGTCCTCCTCCTCCTGTACCTGGCCCCCTGTCTCCTCCTGCTCCTTCTCGTCCCTCTCCTCCTCTTCCTCTCCCCGCCAATGCCGCTCCGCTTCTTCTTCTTCCTCCTACATCCCTTTTACTTATATAATGTAACCCATCCCTGTCGCACACCGAAGCGTGTCGTCGTGGTGGGTCCGGAAGACTGCCTCACCATGCCTGACTCTGAAGCTTGAGCTGTACAACAATTTATGGATGGCGGACCGTTTCAAAATGTGGCTCTGGCCTTAGCGCCGCGCTCACGTGACTTTGAAATTTACAAAAAGATCAAGATGGACGGCGTGTCGTTTTCAACAGGTGGTTCCTGCCTTTGCGCCGCACACATTCATCTGAAAAGCTTGTAGCACTATCGCGGATGGAGGGAGGCTCTTTTTGAACATGTGGTTCTCGCCTCAGCGCCGCGCACATTCGGCTTAATACTTCCAGCATGTTGACGGATTCGTATGGTTGAAGTCCCAGGGATGGTGGTAAGGTGCGATTAGGAAGTCAAGACGCGACAGTCACGCAGTCACGTTGATTCGCGGTGTTGAAATCCCAGTAAGGTAATAATGGTGCGACTGTCAAGACGTGATAGTCTCGCGTTGAAGTACCAAGAATTATGGCTCGACTGAAGGTTCTCAAATGGTTATGTGGTTCTTCTGATGGGCCACTTTCCGCAAAGAAGCTGAACTGTTGTAGGGCACTGTGGAGAGGGCACTTGGAGGAAGAGTTGACTGCAGCATCGTTAATGCGACTTGGACTTCTACTGGTCCTTCTCCTCCTCCTCATCCTCCTCCTCCTCCCCCCTCCTGCCTCCTCTTCCTCCCCCTCCTCCTCCTCATCCTCCCCCTCCTCCTCCTCATCCTCCCCGTCCTCCTCCTCCTCCTCATCCTCCTCCTCCTCCCCCCTCCTGCCTCTACTGGTCCTCCTCCTCCTCCTCATCATCCTCCCCCTCCTCCTCCTCACCCTCCTCCTCATCCCCCGGGTCGGCGAGAGCCCCGCGGTCTACAGCTGCCCGTGCGTGGGGGCGCCGCCGCCCACGCTGAGGCGGGGACCGCCTGCCGACGAGAGAACCCGGCGAGGAGCGAGCCAGGACGGGCACAGAGCACCCCTTGCATGGCGGCGCGCACGGGGGGGCAGGCGCTGGTTCTGCATCTATAGGCAGGGCCCGCGCCTTCTGGGAAGCAGAAGCGCTTCCAAGAAGCCTTCCCTCTCCTCCTATAAACCCCCCTGCGCGTGGCTGACACCCCTTGCAGAGTCACTCCGCACGGGCGTGGCATCCGATCAGGAAGTGCTAAGTCTGGACGGAGTAGGCCCGGACGGAGACCGAGCACTCCGTGGGGATGTGACCCGCACGGACCGATGCTCCGAGACGAGGGCGCTCTCTCGTCAGAGCCCCAGAACTCCTGCGACTGGATCTTAGCAGCCCTCGTTTTGTCATCGATCTCGACCTCCCTGGGGTCATTTTCGGGCCCTGGGACCCTAAAAAAAAAACCTGGGACGAAAGACGATTCAAAATCCCTTATTAATCGACCCCCCCAAAGAAACGGGATCTCCCTCCAAATGCGACCTAATATTCCCGACCACCTTCGACGGGGCGCCTTAATATTCCGGACCCCCTCTCAGCAAAACAACATCACCGTTGCGGGCGCACCAGAGGAGTTGTTGACACCGAGGCGGACGCGTTTGGGACGCAATGTATTGTTCAGGTTCTGCGGAGGGCCGTTCCCAGCATACCACGCCAGAGGATATATTAACACCCTGACGGAACAACGAGTTCCAAAAGAAGCCTTAATAAACCGGATCCCCCAAAACTCCAATCCAACGAAAGCGCCCTAATAAACCGGACCCCCCCCCCCCAACTACAAAAAAGGCGCCTTAAAAAACCGGATTCGGGGGACGATTACGTAATAATGGAATTGGAGCACCCCCGGAGAAGCGGTCGGGACACTGGAGCCTCGGATTGACGAACAAATGCATCGGCGAATGTCGGGGGCCAACTTTGCGTTGATGCTTTCCCTTGCTTTAAGTCGGGCCTGTCCCCCTACAGGAGAAATATTCAAAAATAGTCAAAAAAAATATGAGGAGGATTTTCGCAATATGTTTGACCAATTTTGAATACTTCTTAGCTTTGAAAATATTCCGTCCCAAATCCGCATGTAGGGGGACACGCCCGATTCAACCCTTTCTCCTGGGCTCTCTGTGCATCACCCTGGGGGCCCCCGGCGCAATGCCGTATCAGACTGAGCTCTTCGAGGTGGTTCCAGGCGGAAACTTCCTTGACGCGTGTCCTCCTGCCGACGCTAGCGAGCGCCGATTTACCCCCACCTCGTCGCGTCGTGGACAGAAGGCACGGGAAAAAATGTTGGCCAGGTTCGGCATCTGGGGGCCTTTTTGCCAGGCGCCGGGGCTGTTAACAAAACCACTCGGGATGAGAAGTCGGTCCAAGGGAAGCGGCCTCGACCTCTGGGGGCTCACGTTGCGAAGAAATCACGACGTCGGAGGCCTGGAACTGTGGCAGGGAGTGACTGCACTGCCCGCCCAGGCTTCCACTCGGAGGGCAATCAGTGGCAATTGCAAGGGGCTTCGCGATCCCAATCCCCGACTTCGTGGGATTTTCGATGGGCCAGACAATCTGGAGTCCGAATCGGGGGTATACACTTGGGGGGGAGGCGTGCATCCTCGACAGGGGGGGCGTCCGAATAGCTCCTCTGGAGGAGCAGCCCCGAATTTCCCTCCTCCCCTCCTCTCCTGAACTAGGGAGCGCACAAAGGACGTACGCGCCCAGCTATGTACATGAACACGGCCCCTCGATCTGCGAGACCGGCCGCGTGGTACGAACTTTCGGGCAACGCGTACTCTCGAAACCAGCGTGGATTCATGTACGTGTACGTCCTTCTTTCGCTCCTGATGAACGGCCCGCCTAGTGCCCACCCAGTGCGCTGGCTGGCGTTCCCGGGGCTGTCGCCCGACGGCCGCCCGCCGCCGCCCCCCTGCGCGGGATGGCCGCCCGCCGCGGCCTCGTGGCCGCCCCCTTGGCGCCTCGCTGGGGCTTCGGGGCGCTCGGCGGGCGGCCGCCTCGCGGACACCTCGTGCGCGAGCTCGCGCCTCAGGGTGCACACATACATGAAGGGGCCCCAGGACACACAAATAAATACACACAAATAAATATATAACCCATATTTTCCCATATTTTCTGGGTTTCTGTCTCCCCCCCACTTCCCATATTTTCCCATATTTTCCTGGGAATCGAGGATTAATTGTGTCTGTGTGTTTTTTCCCCTCCTGAATACAGCCGGACCTAGGCCAGAAGAACATCCCTCAAGTACATGAGACCCTCCGCCGGCCAAAACGCACAGAACAGCCAAGGGTACCCTCCCCAGGATGCACAAGAGCATTCAACAGACACGAAGAACATTAGGGTACCCTACCCGAACCGACCTCGGCCTTGTACATCGGTCCGACTGTAGCCCGCACCACGCAGACGGACTTGAGCACGAGAGGTGGTCGCGCGCGATCGCCCACAGCAGAATTCATCACGCAGGCTCTCCTTTCTCAGAAGAAGGATAGATTCGACTACCCTCCCCCCTGGGGTTAGCGCGCTTCCCTGGGACACCGCAATTTACGTACGATTCTGCCTCGTCGTTCATGTTCTGTACGAACTCATATCATCCCCTTCAACCTGGTACAGGCCCCAACCTCATCCCTGTCAAAACAGACTCTGCGCGCACACTCGTCACTGTCGAAAGATCACTGCCGGAACACATTCCACACGCGCGCTCATGTCGAAATCAAACCAAACACCAGTGCTTCAAGCATCTCAACATAAACGCCCCAACCGCTCGGTCGCTTGCCATGACAAATACGGAATATGTTCCGCCAGCGCGCACTTGCTGAAACCACTGGGGAACCATCTGATTTCAACCATCTCGTCGTCCCGGATCCGCATTCTCATCCGGCCACGCGGTACATCCGCGTTGATCCAGCATGCGCCCAATCCGCGAATCAATATCAAATAACACCATGCAGGCCACGCGCACGCGCCGCCTCGCGCGCGCACGGAAGCCCTTCCAAATGTTTCGGTGTTCGAAGCACTTCAAGATAAAACTCTTCACAGACCGATGGAACAAGCAAAGGCTGTTCAGCAACGAGTCTGCCAGGCCAGGAGTCTTGCATTTCCACCCCTGCGCCCTTCCCCACCATCACCGCCACCATCACCATCAGCGCCACGCATCACCCCCGTCATCGTCATCGTCAATCGCCGCTACTGCAGCCCTCGTCAGTCAACCACCTCCACCAACGATGCATGGACATCAACATCATTATCGTCGTCACCAGCATCAGCACCCTCGTTGGCCTTACCGTCGCTATCGTCATCATCGCCATCACCATCGCTACTTTCATCATCATTGCCGCCGTCGTCGACGTCATCATGATACGGTGCCCGTCCAAATCACCGGCCCACACTGAAGTACCCGCGCGCCAGCGCGGCCTTTGAGACGCGCAGCAATTCTCATCGGCAAGTGCCATCGCGACGGTGCCAAACCAGCTGGCCGCTCTGCGCGCGAGCTTGCACGCGCTCGAGCAGCCGCAAAGATGCGCCAACCAGTGCCACGTAGTCACCGCAATCGCGGCCGCACGGGCTGTGCAACACAAGCTGCGGGCCGGAGGGTTAGAAGATTGCGCGAGCAGTGGAGTTGACAACTTCGAGTTCTGCAACGTGGAGTACGCAACATGGATTGTCTCCCCCCCCCACGTCGTTTGTTGCACCACATGGCTTGAAACAGGTGCGTAGAATGTACCACAAATATCCTTCTACATAGAGAAATCCGCCGCCGCGCTTGCAGCTGTTGGTATATGTGTGTGTGTGTGTGTGTGTCTCGTGCCCTTGCTATTTGTTCGCTCGTCTCGCATGATACATCTAACCCAACATGCAATCATCTGTTGGACCAGGTCCCTGCGTTTAGGGGTACCCGTCCACAACCGAAGCGCGGGCAAGCACCCTCATGGAAAACTCCACGCTTCCCCGCTCCCGACGCCGTCCAATGGGGCCTCTGTAGCCTCCCCCCGTCCCCCCCAAGATGGCTCCTGATGGCTCCAAGACTGCCAAGATGGTATCCAAGTCGGACACATGTGACCCTCGATGGTCTCCCTGACGGTCCCAGATGGCTTCCAAGGCTGTCTCGATGGCCCCAAGACTCCCCAAGACGCCTCCAAGAGCCCCCCCCAGGAGGGCCCGAAGATGCCAAAATTATTGACCTCCCGTTGGTGCTTGAAATCTGTTCGCGTTGGCGCCTCTTCGGGCTCCCGGACCCCAAGACGGCACAAGAAACCTCAAAGATGGCCCCAGTACGGCCCACTGGGCCCCCACCAGGGCCCCAAGACGCCGTAGGACGGCCCCAATATGGGCCAAAAGGCCCCCGGGACGGCCATCCCGGTCAAAAAACGTTGCTCTGCACATGTGGCCTCCACGCTGGGTCGGAAAGGAGGACCAACTGGGCGCCTCGACTATAGCGAGATGCCGGATGTCTGGGCAGGGGGTAGGGAGGAGCACGCGCCCAAGACCGCATTGATGAATCTGGAGCGCGAACATGGTGAACAGAAACCTCCAGGCGTCCTCCTTCACGGCGCGAAGGAGGACGAGGACGAAGAGGTGGGAGTTGGAGGTGGCCGGGAGGTCTGGACAAAGTAAACCCAGGCAAGATCGGTCAAGCGGGCGGGGGGGACGAGGGCAAATCCGCTCAAAATCGGTCCCCAACCCCCTCCCTGGGTCGAAACTGACTCGGTCTTCGAGCCGTGGCGACGAGGGGGTCCCTTCCTCCCCCAGCCGGCTTCAAGGTGGGAGGGCGGCCTAGTCCTTCCAGGCTGAGCCGCGTCCAGCCGTGGCGACGATGGGGGGCGACCAATAGGAGGACGCCCGAGAGGGGGGGAGTAAACCATGGCTCGAGGCGCGTGCGCGGACGACGGAGGCCAACGAACGTAGTGAATGAAGGAGAGGAAAAAAAACGAATCATAAGACAACTAATACTAAGAAGAAGAAGAAGAAGAAGGGAAACAACCATAAAAGAAACAGACATAGAGGGGGCCATACAATCTGAGAGATATCACGGCACCGGCCATGATACCCACCCCCTAGTCATCACCTAGAGGCCTCCCAGATGTGGTCAGAGTAGATGGGTTCGGAGGATCTCGCCGCATCGGGAATGTATCGTCGATGCGTCGCAGATGTATCGGAGACGTCGGCGGTGCATCGGCGACACCAGCGTGGAGAAAATCGGGCTCCACATCGAAGCGCATCGCCGATGCATCGGCGATGCGGTGCGATCCTCCGACCCCATGTGCTCCGACCCCATCTGGGACGCTTAGACCCCCTCCCTCCTGGACGCCCCTCCCTCCTGGACGCCCCCCTCCCCCCGACTCCCTCCTGGACGCCCCCGAGACGAAGGGGGCCCCTCCCTCCCCCGGCCGGCTTCCGGGTGGGAGGGCGACCTTGGGCGCCCGAGTTATCCGGGGTAACTCGGGTCCGGGGTAACTCGGGTTTGGCTTCCCGAAAAACGAACCCGAGTTATCCCTGACCCGAATTACCCCTGATGATTCGGGGCTCTGGATGCCCGAAATATCCGGGGTAACTCGGGTCCGGGATAACTCGGGTTCGGACTCCCGAAAAACGAACCCAAGTTATCCCTGACCCGAGTTACCCCTGATGATTCGGGGCTCTGAGGGTGGGAGGGCGACCTGCTCCTCCCAGGCTGGTGCGCCCGCCGCCGCCCAGCTCGGCGCGCCCGTCGCCGCGGGCACCCCCCAGGCTCGCCCGCGAGCCGCTCGAGGACACCCGGCGCATCGGAGCTCCGAGCCCTGCGGGAGGGCTCCGGGCAGAGGGACGACGACGACGACGACGACGACGACGACGGCGACGACGAGGACGACGACGACGACGACGACGCCGACGACGACGACGACGACGACGACGACGACGACGACGCTGACGACGACGACGACGATGACGACGACGACGGCGACGACGGCGACGACGACGGCGGCGACGACGGCGACGACAACGACGCTGAAGGCGAGGACGACGCTGACGACGGCGGCGCCTCCACAGACATCCAACGCCCTGATAGGATCGATGTGTAACTACTTGGTTCACTCCCCTTTACAGCCTCCCTGACAACGTCCGTCGTTACAGTTAACCCGTATAACAAGAATGCACGGTAAGGATGCAAGGGCCTTGGAGGGCCACGTTCACGATTTTCGAACGAGGTTGGCCAGCGAAAGCGGCCAAGGATGGACCGAGGAGGCAAAGATGCAAGGGTGCACTTGGGAAGGCTGCCCATCCTTGGGATTTCGGTTGACTGTGGAAAACGCAGCGAGATATCAACCGACGTGGATCCGTAGGCCCCGAGGCCGTCCACAGCATGGCTGACCCCGTGGGCAGGGTCGGACTTCCTGCCGACCCTTGGGGCTCCTCGGCGCGTGGAGTACTGCCGCTCCCAGATCTCCTTCATCGGGGGCCCAGTCCAAGCGATTGGGAATAGGGGCCAAAATATGAAGACGAAGCTCCTCCGGCCCAGGAGAGCTCCCGCGCGCTCCAAAGTGTCCCAGACGGCCCTCCGACGGTCGAAGATGGCCTCAAGATGGCCCAGCGTGGCCTCACGTCAGCCCAGGACGGCTTCAAGAAGCGCCAAGAGGCAATCAATACGGCCCAATGCCACCCCAGGGGGGCCCTCCAAGATGGCCTCCGGAGAAACAAATCACTGAATTTCATGGTTTTCAAATCCATATTCTCGTTCTCGCCTGTCCGAGTGTCAGGGCGCCCAAGACCGCCCCAAGTATCGCCCAATCCCAAGAAACGTACACAACGCCCCCGAGAGGACCCCCAGAGGATCCGAACACGGCCCAAGACGTACCAAGAGCTCCCCAAGACGGCCCCACTGGCCCACCAGAGGGCCCCTAGACGCCCTCAAGACGCCGCAAGAGGACCCTAGACGCTCTACCTCCTTGACAGCTCCTAGAGACCCCCAGAGGCCCCAAAGATGCCCTCGAGAGTTCCTCAGAGGCCCACAAGAGGCCTGCAGAGGGCTCGGAAGAGGCCTTCACAAGGCCACCGAAAGCCTCAGACAAACTTCAACAGGACCCCAAAAAACCTGCGACATGGCAGAGCGGCACGGCTGGCTCTGTTTCTATTTCATCCGCGCGATTGGCAGGGAACCGCCACATCCCATACCAAGCGCCCCGAGGGTGTGGAGAGCTGTAACATGTGCAACGATCTTTGTTGGCAACCAACATGAACACGATACTACTGATGAGGATGATGATCATGATTGTGATGCTGGTGTTGTTGTTGCTGCTGATGATGATGATGATGATGATGATGATGATGATGGTTGTGCTGAGGCTGATGAGGCTGATGATGCTACTGATGCTGATGCTGGGGATGGTGATGATGATGATGGTGATGGGCCATCACCATCATCACTGTTGGTGATGGTGATGATGGTGAAGGTGGTGATGCTGATGAAGATGGTGAGGATGATGATGGTGATGACTCTGATGATGCGGAGGAGGATGAGGACAGTGATGATGATGATGATGATGATGAGGATGATGTTGACGATGATGACGATGATGATGGTGATGATGATGCTGATGATGATGATGCTGATGCTGATGATGATAATGACGATGATGATGACGGGACAGGCTGGGCCTTGTTCCCTCCGCTTACTCCTCCTCAAGTATCCTCATCCCTTCTCCTCCTCCTCCCACTCCCGCCTTCCTCCAACTCCCCCCCGCCTCCCCCGTTCTCTGCTACTCCGAACTTGTCCTCGTCCGCCTCTCCCCTCCGCTCCCTCCTCCCCCTCCCTCCGCCACCTTTTCCTCCTCCTTGTCCTCCTCCTTCCTCCTCCCTCCTCCTCCTCCCTCCGCCCCCCCTCTAGATGCCTGGAGGTCACCGTGAGGCCCCCGCGGGGTCCCCGAGGGCTGCCGCGAGGTCTTCGTGAGGCCCACGACTTCCGACGCGGTGGCCCGCCCGAAGCCACACAAGATGGCCACGGCCACCCGAACACCTCGATCCTCGACCCACGTGCGTCCAAGGTGCATCCAGGGCGTATCCAAGGGTGTCCCGGATGGATCTGATTTGGGTCTGCGGGGAGGTCCCTTCCGCTGGACGTCTCATCAGCTCACGTTCGTGGCGACAGTCAGGCGTAGTTGGCAGCCCCCCAGGGTGGCGATATCTGCCTTGGGTCTGCATGCAGCACCACTCCGCTGGACATCTCAGGAGCTCACGAAAGCGGGGACAGCCCAGCAGTGATGTCGAGGTAACATGAGAAGAGTGACAAAGGGGAAGCAGGAGTCGGAAAGGAGAAGTGCTGACCGAAGTGCTCCACGCAAAACGAATACCCAACACAGGAGGGACATAACAGCCCATTCTCAAATTCCACCAGCCCGTAGGACTAAGGTAGTCTAACGATATGGCGATTTATCGTTTGCTCTGTCACTTTTAATTGGTTCCCAACTTCCCCCGGCACTGGGGGCAACCCCAACAACAACTCCGTCAATGTCGCCTTCAAGCCAGGAGCCTTTCACCGGGGCCACCTCAAGTCTGGGCATCTCGGAGCCAGGGATTCCGAGGATGTCTTAATTAGAAGAAGCGTGCCTGAGCACATCGCGGACCACGTCTTGGAACCAAGAGTTGTGATAACGTCTCAAGCGAAACGGGCCAGAGCACCTCAAGTCAGGGCATCTCGGAGTAGCCAGGGGTTCGGAGGATGTCTAAGGCGAAACGGGCCTGATTACCTCGCGAATCACAGATTGGAACCCACCGATGTCCCAGGCGAAACGGGCCAGAGCACCTCGCGAGCCGCATCTTGGAACCCAGAGGTGTGAGTTCCGAGGATGTCTCTTGCGAACAACGTAATGAGGATGTCTCAGGTGAAACGGGACTGAACATCTCAAGTCAGGGCATCTCGTAACTCAGGGTTCCGAGGATGTCTGAAGTGAAACGGGCCTGAGTACATCGTGAACCGCATCTTCAACCCAGAGTTGCGAGGACGTCTCAGGCCAAATGGTCAGAGCCAGGGATTCGGAGGACGTCTCAGGCGAAGTACCTCGCGAAACACATCTGGGAACCCAGAGTTGTGAGCATGTCTCAAGCGAGACGGGCCAGAGCACTCCAATTCAGGGCATGTCGAAGCCTGGGGTTCGGAGGATGTCTCAGGCAGAACGGGCCTGAGTACGTACCTCGTGAACCACATCTTCGAACCCAGAGTGGTGAGTACGTCTCAAGCGCAACCAACCAGAGCACATCAAGTCAGGGCATCTAGGAGCCCGAGAAAATGGTTCTCTGTGGGCCATGGGGCGCACCGAACCAACTCTTTTGAGAGCCACCCCTTCCCGGCACCTCCCTGGCACCGCCGTTGGGGTTGCCGGGGTCGCCCGGAGCTGTCCCGGGCGACCCGGACAAGACTCCGGTGCACTGCCCGCCCCCCGCCAGCCCAGGCAAGCCCCGGATGGGGCCCAAAACAGCCCCCAAAGCCAACCGGAGTTGCCAGCGAAGACCGGGAGCGGCCAAGAGGGGGGTGTCCAAGAGGGGGGGGTGCAAATCATGACCGGCGGCATGTGCGCGGCCCAGCGGGGGGGCCAGGGACGTAATGAAAGAAGAAGAGGCGCCATGAAATCTGGGGAAATATCATGGCCCACGCCATGATATCCACCCCCCCCTAGTCATCACCCCCCTTTTTTCCGCCCCCGAGAAGACCATGCGGCTCCGAAGCGCACCTCCACCCGGTAAAATTGGCCTGACGAAGGACCCAACTATGAGCAGTTGTGGATGCCGCGTTCTGGGTCCATCGTTCGATCTCTATGGGGCCACGGAACGTGTGAGGGGTGCGCCAAAATGAGCGGGGAAGCGCACGCGGACCCTGCCACTGGGGCCTTCGGTGGAGCTCCCTATGGGGCCACGAAATGTGTGAGGGGTGTGCCGAAAAGGGCGGGGGACCGCATGCGGACCCTGCCACTGGGGCCTTCGGTGGAGCTTCCCATGCGGCCACGAAACGTTTGAGGGGTGTGCTGAAACGGGTGATGACGATGATGATGATGATGATGATGATGATGATGATGATGATGATGATGATGATGATGATGATGATGATGATGATGATGATGATGATGATGATGATGATGAGAGGAGGAGGGAGGGGGCAGCGGGAGGATGAGGAACGCGGGGCGCAGTCTCTTCAAAACGAGGACCCAACACCACAGGATGGTTGGGACCAAACGGACCGTTCGAGACATCCCCACAATCTGGGCGCGAACGGGCCCGAGACATACCCTTCGTCGGCAGAGTACCAGCCCGCGTTACCAGGCACGATCGAGCCGCGTCCAGCCCTGGCGCCGAGAAGTGCCCCGAGAGCATTGACAACAAGAGCACTTGTCTGACAGCAATACGAGCATCATCCTTCCTTCCCCTCGCCTTCAGTCATCCTACTACTCCTCCTCCTCCCACTCCCTGTTCGCCTCGCACTCCTCAACGGTTGCTCGGAATCGCGGGGACGTCTCATGCGAAACTGGCTGGACACCCTCGCACGCGGCATCTCGTTGCCAAGAATTGCGGGGCCGTCTCAGGCCGAACTGACCTTATCACCACGCGGGCGCAACGATGTCTCATGCGAAACGGGCCGAACCACCTCAGCATGCTGCCAATGTCTCGACGCGTGGGCCCCTTGGGCGCCAGTCCTTCTTACTGCAACAATGCCCCCCGACACCTGCCGGGCGACCTGGGCACACTCCAAGGCAGAACAACCTTTCGACTGGAACTGAACGAGAAGTTCCCATATCTGGTTTTCTTACCAAAC